CAAACACGACTTGGCAAAAGATTTTCATGTCAAACCATTGTCTCGAAAAGTGCTCAAGCTTTGAGCGCGAAATCAAATAACAAAGCTCACATTGCATTCTGCATACAGTGCTTGTGTTAAAAATTTGGTGTGTGCGCACTTCTTAACGTATACGCATAATCCAATGCAATGTAGACGGTTTCTAGACCGTCATAAACGCAAGCGTGCATAGGCCGCGTCGTCTGCTGTTATTATGGGATCGGTGCGGCATCTGGCGGCGAGCGCCAAAACTATAAGGGACGGATGGCGCGTATGTATTTAGCGCTAATGCGCGGGCACAAAAAAATATAGGAGGCTATGCTTAGGGTCTTCTCCCAAACATTCCGGATCATTCGGTCCTCGCGCCCCGGCGATGTTTCCGATGACAAGGTCGTAAAGGGGGGTCGTCATACATAGAGCGGTAACCTTCCCGCTGAAGTACGGGGTTTCCACCTCAATCTCTGCTTCGGGAAGCACCCGAACCGTACGGTCAATTAGGCAAACTGGTTTAGTTTTACCTGTTAGCTCACTTTCCCGTACCAAATTTCTCCGCACGATAACCGTGGAACTACCGGTGTCTCTTAGAACCGTAATCTTCTTGCCTGCAACCTTTCCAGGCAGCGTTGGCATTCCCTTCGTAACACCGGTTGGCTGTTTTGACATTACAGCACCCACAATAGGAATTTTCTCCCCATTCTTCAACTCTACGAATCCATCGGTGACGGCATTATTATCAGATTTCGGTGCCACTTGCACACAGGATACCTGGTGAGTTTGACTCACTCCGTTCCGACAAGCGTCTGCTTTGTGCCCAGTCTGACCACACTTGAAACATTTTACTGCCGTAGGGCTCGTAAAGATCGTTCGACAGTTTTTTGCGCGATGACCCACTCGGTTGCACAGAAAACATTCCGGAATGCTCTCTGGTGCACGCTTCTTTTCTTCGGGAGCCAATTTCTTCGAATCATCGGGACAATCCTTCTTGACCTTGGCCAAATTAGTGCCACCTTGCGCTTCCAAGAATTGATCAGTCAATTCAAGCATGTCTTCAAGTGAGTCAGCCTTCCTCTCTTTCAAGTACAGTGACAGGCTTGGGTGGCAACTAGTAAGAAATTGTTCTGTAATTAGGAGCTCTCTAAGCTCTTCGTACTCCTGCGCTGTCCCTGAAAGTTCAATCCATCTGTCGAAATAATGGCAAAGTCTGGCGGCATACTGCGTAGCCGTCTCACCATCAGCTGGCTTTCCTGTCCGAAATCTGTCCCGGAAACCTTCTACAGTAAATCTAAATCGCTTCAGCAAAGCAGCTTTCACCTTTGCATAGTTGGCTGCATCGGTCGGCGTCAGCCTACCGTACACACTGAGCGCTTCACCACCCAAGCAAGTACTCAAAGCAGTTGCCCATTGATATTCCGGCCAATTCTGGCTCCTTGCAATCGTCTCAAATCTGTGAAGGTACGCGTCAAGATCGTCCTTCCTTTTATCAAATGCCACGAGCAGCTTGCTTGGGTTCAAGCGGAAGCAATGTTCCTCCCGTTCCCTGGTTTTAACTCTAGCTTGGACCGGAGTTTCACTTCGCTGTTGCAAACGGAGCCGCTCGAGTTCTATCTCGTGCTGTCGCTGCCGTTCTCTTTCCTCTCTTTCTTCTTTCGCCCTCTCTGCTGTCAGTCTTTCTCTCTCCAGCTCCAACTTCAATTGCTGCTCTCTTTCTTCTCTCGCCCTTAGGGCTGCCAACTTTTCTCTCTCCAACTCAGCTGCCTTTTCTTCCTTGGCCCTCTCAGCTGCCAACCTCTCTCTCTCCACCGCCTCTTTCTCCTTCTGGCTTACCCATTTCCGTAGTTCGGTGCCAGAGAGTCCTATCTTCTCACCAAGAGCAACTAACTTTTCGAGATCCATGGTGTCTCGCAAATAAAACCTTGCCACGTGCAAAAAGTTTCTGCCTAAATCAGTCTATCGGAACACTCTCCTGCACTTGTTAACGAGAACACTGAACAACACACAAAATCGTACCGATAGCACTATCAACAACTCGAGGCTCTTTCTCACTACTTTGGACGCACGGTGCACCAAAAAGTCCTGTGTCGCGGACGCCAGATTAATTGTCACACCCGTCCCGTTAATTAGGGAGGCAATCGCCGGGCTAATTCCAAGAGCCGAAGTGTCGGCCCCCCGAACCGCACCACGAAAGCGTGGACAATTTAGAAGTGGTCCTTTTTGGCGTGCCAGCGGACGCCGGTTGTGGCCCAAAGAACAAGTCAGAGCCGAGAGTTGATAAACAAAACAAATATTATATTCTCAAAAATGGCAGATCGAAAACAATACACAAGAATGCACACTCCACATTATTAAACATACAATACGTCACCAATCAAACAACGTACTACCCAGTACAATCAGCCACACTCAAAACAACGGACACAGACAACGATACGCACTACAATGCAGTCGCATGCATTGAACAACCAAGATAAAGACTAAAAAACCTATCCAGTCCAAAGTTCTTGGGACAAAAGTCTGGATGATACTCTTCCGAGAATCACTCACTCAAAGTCCAGCGTTGTTGTCGTTCCGCGCCCTCGAAGTTCCTCTTCCAGGAAACCTCGTGTCTTCAATTTGCCACTCTCCAAGCTTCAAACTTCTTCGCCGAAAACACGTCGGCTTCACACACGCAGCTGTTGCCACGCGTCTTCGCTCGATAGTGGTAAACTCACGCTCTTGCCTGTAGCTCGAGCCTTCACCCCTCAGGTGGAAATCCTCTTCTTCTCCTGCTTTGTCGCTACCGACAAAACCTTCGCCGACTACACGGCGGAATCCCTACGCACTCTGGCGCCAACTTCCTTCTTCTCCTCATCTCTCATCTCGGCTGCTCGGTTAAATACCTTTCGCACGGCATTCCAGAAAGTTCTCGTCATTTCGTCGGCGCGATACGCAGCAAAGGCTGGGGAGAGGTGAGACGGTTGGAATGCCCTCCGCGGCCGATGACTCAACTCGGTATGACCACGCCCCCTTCATTCTAGAACTTTCGCGGGCTATCTCGGCCGCCGATGTGGGGTGAGGAGGTTCGTCGGCGAAGCCACGCTTCCAAGGGGAGAGCGCGCGCCCGGGGAGCCTTGGATGTTTGTTTTCTTTTAGATGCGGAGCATCTTATACTCGCGCCTTGGAGTGCGCCGTCCGCACCGCTTCTCGAACATTCGACAGCTGACGCGCGCGCATGCGCCGACGCGCCGTCGCCTACTCTTCCACCATCTGTGCATCCCTTCCTCCTCTACACACCGCGCGCGCTTCACTCCTCCACCATCTGTGCACCCTTCCTCCTCTACACACCGCGTTCGACATCTACAATTCTCCTGATTCTCCAGTGGACGCGCATGTGGCGTCGCGCTTCAAGAACATTCAACAGCTGACAGTGCATGCGCCGTCGTGCTGTATATATACTCAAGGTCGGCGCTCGCTCGCTCAGTTGCCGCTCGTCGGTTGGTTTGTACGGCGCGTCGACGTCCAAGGTCGCGGTGAAATGAATTCCAACGAATCCACAAACACAATGATCGACGTCCCTTCGACCAGCGCCGCCCTTTCGCATACGTGTGTACGTGTTCACTCATTTAACACCCCCTCCTACAACCACGTTAACCAATTTAGCCATCGACCCAAGTAAGTCGCAATTTAACACCCCATTTCACAACCACGTTAACCAATTTAGCCATCGACCCAAGTAAGTCGCACTTTAACACCCCGTTAACCAATTATATGGTCCGCATCCTCCTCAGTGTTCCCCCGAGGGAAGCTGCGGGCAATTTTTTTTTCTTTTGACCTCCTGGCGTCTCTTCCGCGCGTTACCTCAAGAATTTGGCGGCGCGCCCATTTTTAGCGCTCGTTCTGTGACAGTTAGAACGTCCGAGGAGGTACCCCATGGTGGCTCTTATATATATATATATAAAAAACATGGTGGCTCAGTTGTAACGCCTCGCATTTTAGGCGCGGAGGTCTCACGTTCGATTCCGCGTGCCGTAGTGTGTTTTCTGGATTTTTTTTCCTTCTTGCGTGTTCATATATATAGATACGTATACATAACATATATGGTGCATGACATTGACGCTGGCGGCAAAGTCGAGCCGGGAGTGTCCATATAAGTGCTATCGCAGTAAAACAAAAGATTACCAAAATTTTATGAATGGCTGCATCGCCCAAGCGGCCAGTGGACCTGGTGGTGGTAGTGGTTAGAAGATGAGAAAAGGCCCCTAATTTCTGCAACCCGTTCGGGAGCACGGCGCAGTGCCCCCCTCCCTCCCTCAAAAAAAAAAAGCAACGAGCGCATTCCGGTTGCATGCGAAGTGGGAAAGGAGGGCTTCCGCGGCGACCCACCTAGCTCGTCTCGATTTTTCATCCTTTCTCTCAATTTCAAAACGTCACCAGTGACGTCATGAAATAAATTTTCTGTTCGTGAATTGTGATTTCTTTCTAGTAGGGATGCCCGGCAATCGCCAGGGGTAAATGCGGCGCTGCCGCTGCCGTGAGCGAATACACGAGAGGTATAGGGAGTTTCCGCCCCTTGGTACAGTCTCGCACCAGCTTAGGCTTGAATGTCACCAGGTGCACAGGGGCCACTCAGCCGGCCCCAACAAATGAATAGCGTGCTCCGATACGCCGTCACAGCGGAAATAATACGTGTTGCACTTCTCTAATCATTCACTTCACCTCTAAGGCTTGATTACGCCTCAAATCAGTTGAAATACTTTCTTAAGTGATCTCACGTTTCATGAAAGCAACGCATCACACATCTCAATTTTTATAAGATGTCCTTATACTTCCTACGAGTTGCAACGTGATGGAGTAACTTCCTAGTTAGTATGTAGTCGATCCATCCAAAATAAATCTAGTCTGCTTCCTCATAGCGCAACGTAAACCAGACGTATTTCTCATAGCGCAGACGAATGTACGGAAACGTTAGCGGGCAAATCCGTTTGCACGCCAAGAACACCACCCACCTGAAAATATTCGAGGAACTCGCGTAGGGTAATCTCGCCTTCAACTTCGAGGTAGTCCCACACCGTGAATTCCTGGTCGTTATACTGCGGAGAAAAAGAACGCATCGGGTGCGAGGAGGAGGTATCCCGAAACGCTTCAGCGCAGCGCTATATGTGAGGTACACGTGTCGCTCTCACTGCGCACATGCATGCGTGTGTGAACTTGTTCAAATATGGACATGCAAATAGTGGCTGAAGCAAGGCCGCTTTTTATCAAATCGAAATTCACTTTGTGTCAGCAAGACTGCGCACTAGTGCTCAGGAGTTCGGCCAGGGTGCTGGCCACCGGCATAAACGTAGGATCGCATGCATGATCACATGGGTCCCGGACTATCGGCACCTCTCCTAGAATTCTTACAGCGCGTCGGCCATTGAGGCCGTCCATATATATCTCTTGTAAACTGTGAAAATGCCTGTTTATCACCGCCACAACCACTGTTGCTTGCTGGCAGAGTTGAGAGGAGCCGCCAAGCAAACAAGCAAACAGTCACCCCAAAAGCAAGCCCCCCCCAAAAAAGCGGCGGCGCTTTTCCGAATAAGCCCAAAAGAGAAGGAAGTCAAACAAATGTTCCTATTCTTGAAAATTGCGTTGTAGTACGAAAAAAAAAATACTACGAATACATCTGGAAGGTGTATAAACATTCATGTTGCCTGATGAAAATAGGTTCCTGAATAAAGGCAAGAATTTTCTGGCCTTACACAGAGTCATCGTCACTAACATCTGGCAGATCAAGATAATCTATGGCATGTAACATAAATATGCAGCTTTGCATGTTACGCATAATTTATGACATGCAACGCTGCATGCTATACTTGCACGCAGCTTTTTTTGTCATCTCCGGTAACTGGACGTATAACCAGTACATTAGCGGCGCTTCCTTTTCGTACTCTTTACAATATATATGCCGTACTTTGACCACTTCGGAACCATAGCAATGCACCACAATGGAACAAGGACACACAAGAAAGGAACTCACCCGAGGAGCGCAGACTAACAACTGATTTTTATTAAAACAGAAAACCGCCAAATATACTCTTTTTTTTTCCGCGCCCGTGAACACTGCGTATGAGCAACTTGGCATCGTACAATCATTCACGTAAACTGACAAAACCTTTACCGTAGATAGAATAACTTCAGATCATAAGGACATCATGTCTCACAAGGAAATGTGCGTCAGTCATCCTCCGGTTTCGCTGAACGATTAAGAAATGGAATTGTTGATCAAGATGCGAGATTACCCCGTATACAGTAAAGGTTTTATCACTTTATGTGAATCATTGTACGATGCCGATTCGCTCATGCGCAGTGTTCATGAGGTGCAGAAAAAGAGTATTTTGTGGTTTCTTAGTGAACAAAGATAAAGTATATTTGTTTGTCTGCGCTGGTCCGGTGCGTTCCTTTCTTATGTGTCCCCGTGTGCGTGCGCTAAAGTTCCAAATATGTTGGAAGCGCCGACTGGTGTTGGGAAGCGTAGTTTCGGAGTGTTTTAGATAAGGAATTGCGTGCCGGGTGGTGCAACATGTTTTCCAAAAAAGCCCAGGTATGTCCCCCCCTCCCCTTCCACAAAAAAAAAAGACCATACAAATATGCAAGCGTCTTGGCAAAAAAAACAAAAAAAAACATGCCCGAATTCGTTTTTAATAAGCGGGACTGGCAACTCTGCTTACTGAAGGTAGAGTGCTTTTGAGTACTATTACAGTGATCTTAATTTTGTTATTTGAAGGTTTTACAAGCCGAGCAAGCTAGATTTGATTGATTTATATGTGAGGTTTAACGTCCCAAAACCACCATATGATTATGAGAGACGATGTAGCGGAGGGCTCCGGAAATTTCGACCACCTGGGGTTCTTTAACGTGCACCTAAATGTGAGCACACGGGCCTACAACATTTCCGCCTCCATCGAAAATGCAGCCGCCGCAGCCGGGATTTGAACCCGCGACCTGCGGGTCAGCAGCCGAGTACCTTAGCCACTAGACCACTGCGGGGCGGGGGGGGGGGGGCAGCCGAGCAAGGCAGAAAAGTTTGTTGAACGTATACGCGTGTCACTAAGCCATGTAGCTGCTTGTGACATAATGTTTGGATTTGAATCGCCATGCCTAATTTGGCTGATTGAGATTCTTCAGACGTGGCCAATCCGTCTCGGATCGATAAACCTACGGCCCAGCTATGCCTTTCTGACCGCTCAGCTGTATCCACGGTTAAAATTCAATTGCGTAATACCTGCAGAGTGAAAACGGCACAGTTTGTTCATGAATCGAATGCATGATCGAAGAACGACTTCTCTTTTATACAGTTCACTATAAGGAAAATTGTGCATAAAAATAATAATGGCATACCGTTTTCTGTATCGGCACTACAGGTTCCGCAAAGCAGAAGAAAGGCAGCGCCAAGTTCACAAACCCATCCTTGAATAGCTTAGGTTCGTCGTGTCTTTGAGCTAGCTGCAGATGAAAAGCAATGCAGTTGGCTTAGGGTCATCCAATTCGTAATGTTGGAATATATTTTACTCGCGCTGAAGCTATATATATATATATATATATATATATATATATATATATATATATATATATATATATCACACACACACACCAATTCACAAATATTCGAGAAACTATATATATATATATATATTCGAGATATATATATATATATATATATATATATATATATATATATATATATATATATATATATATATATATATATATATATATATATATATATATATATATATATATATATATATAGGCAGGCATGGTGGTTGAGTGGCCGTAGCGTTGCATATAGTCTAGTAGATCCTCCGTGAGCGGTCACAACGTGGTTTATTTCGACGTTTCGGCCTAGAGTCTGGCCTTCATCAGGAATAAAGATACAGTTTGTCGGTGCTCAGCTTTATACAATCTCAAATCAGAGGGCAAGGTAAGAGGGGAAAAAAAAGGAAAAAAAAGAAAAAAAAGAAAAGAAAAGAAAAGGAAAGAGAGAAAAAAAAGAAAAAGAAAAAAGAGAAAAATAATATACGGTGAACGCCCCTCGGGTGCCCCCCTTCCACTTTTCCCTCCACTCCCCCCCCCATCTCTCTCCCCCCTCTCCCCTTCACCTTTCTGATGTCAGCGGTCTGTGTATGTTTCCGTTCACTAGCGCATTCCTCCCGATCAGACGGTCCCTCCTGGCACTGGCGGTTCGGTGTGGGGAAAAAAAGGGCTTTTCAGGAAGTCCTAAGCCTTTAACTGCTCGGGGTCCCGTAAACAATTCGTCGTAGAAGGACGGGGGCCGCGTATCGTGGCAGAGGCTGGTCAGCGGGCATTTTAGGAAGTTCTAAGCCTTTAACTACTCCGCGCCCTGTCAACATTTCGTCGTAAAAATAGGGGTGCCCCGTATTGCGGTAGGCTGTGCAAGCGCGTGCAATGCGAATTCCTGGCCCGCTTCTAAATTACGCGTGTCATGGGGGCCTCCCGGCTGTGCACATGGTTGCTGTTGTGTTCTTTTTTTTCTTTTTTTTTTTCCTTTTTTTTCCCCTCTTACCTTGCCCTCTGATTTGAGATTGTATAAAGCTGAGCACCGACAAACTGTATCTTTATTCCTGATGAAGGCCAGACTCTAGGCCGAAACGTCGAAATAAACCACGTTGTGACCGCTCACGGAGGATCTACTAGACTATATATATATATATATATATATATATATATATATATATATATATATATATATATATATATATATATATATATATATATATATATATATATATATATATATATATATATATATATATATATATATATATATATATATATACACACACGCACGTGCACACGCACACAAAAAAAACCAACGGTGTACAGAACGATTAAAGTAAAGATATAACTGAAATGATGGATTCATCCAAGGGATGTATGAGTGGCCCCTTTATAAAACTTTATAAAGAGCTGTTTTCTGTGGACCACAAAGCTGGAAAAAGCATTATTATTATTATTATTAATATTATTAATATTATTAATAGACTAACATTGTTGTCTGCATGAATTTAATTTTATTTTCACGGAGAACAAGCCCATAGATTCGCAGCCAAACTTTGCTTTCTGCTCTATACGGCGGAGTGACCTTCGTTTTGTCGGGAGTTTTAAGGCGAAAATGTCAGATGCCACACCAAACGCGAAAGTCGGCCAGCTGGGGTGCCGTGTGGGTGGTGTAAACGCGAGCGATGAAAAAAAAACAGATTGTCAGAATTTGTGGTATCGTTATGACGTCTCTGTGACGTCACGTGATGACGTAATCACTTGTCATAATAGCTTGGCCCAAGGTTGGCCGATCACGGAGGCTACAGTGCCTCCATATTTGGCACAAGGTTGGCCGATCACGGAGCCTACAGTGCCTCCATATTTGGCAGACTGCATCCGATCTCGGAGGCAGTGCGAAACTATGTTAGGCGCAGGAAGCCGTTGGAGGGCAGCGGGGCAGGATCAACACGTCGGTTGAGTCACGTCTGATTCACGTACAGCCTTGATTGCATTTAGCAATTCGTGCCCACCAATGAATTCTCAAGTGTATGTTATGGAATCATCACATCTTCTCACAAACCTGTCAGCATTTCGTACCTATTGTATACACATGACACTCTGTGCTTTCTTATTGCAGAATTTCCATTTCTCTTTGCTGCCATAGCTAAAACGACTGCGATGCAGTACCAATCTCTGGCTCTTCTAAAGAAGATTTTCGGTAGCAAACACCTATGCCGCCACATTGTGTTAGCAAAAGAATGTTTCGCTAGTTTGTATACCTCGACGTGAATTAACAATGTCAATAAACGTCGTATGCACCGACTCATGGTTATGCATCAGCTGTAGCCATGCTAGTTCAGCGATTAACAATACAAAATGGCCTTCACTACGTCCCAATGTGACTCATCCAAACCAATCTGTTAAAAAAACCTACAAATATAACTTTTATAACCAATGGGTACGCATCTAACATATCTAACCAAAGGGTATGCACTCGCGGAAGAGGACGACGAAGACCGGTGCTGCGTTCACGCCTGTGCTGTTGGTGGACCTTTCATTGCTTGACCGTGTAGTTATTCGTTATAAAAACATTATCCCACCGCTTTAATGAGACTTTTCAATTAACATCACTCGGCATCTCCACCCAGCACTTCCACAAATACGGGGTAGTGGATTTGAAATGTGAAATGAGAAAAGTCCGCCTTGCAACCGTCTCTCTCAGGAGAAAAGACCTCAGCTGTAGTGCACAAGGGAAGGGTAATGAGGAGGTAAAAGGAGAGAGTGGAGAGAAAGAGAAAGAAGGAAAGGGAGTGTGATTTACCATCTGTAAAAAAATCTCAGGATATCCATAGAATGAATGATGATGAGTGGACGAAGCCCCGGAGGTACATCGGTAAAACATGAATCCTCCATGTATTTAGCCCAGTCGATCATCAAACACGTGAGAAACACTGTATATATACACAACGTAATTTTATTCGTAAATAGGAGTGAGGCGTGGCTTCCGTTTCCCCTGAATTATCACTGCTTTATGGTCGATAAAGTGAAGGGAGAGTGGTTCTCGGATCGGCCGTAGTGGAAAGTTGGGAAAGTTAGCAAAAACAGGTTCCTCGGATAGTGGTTGGTTGCATGTGATTATACGATATGCATCTGAGAGCATATCGAGACGCCTTGTGCGAGCGTGACCTGCAGTAGCTTGCCGGAGCTCTCCGCTACGCCACCTTGTCTGCGTTGCTCATACTCGAAGTGCGCTGACTACCGAGCGAAACAAGAAGCGCACCAAGAGCGAACGCATTTGATAGCTTTGGGTCTTAGAAGGCGCTTATCACACTAGCACGCCGCGGCGCGAGAGCATCCATCCAGTGAGAGCGCAGATGTGCCATTTAATGGTCTCCTATCACACTAAAGCAAGTGTCTCCTACGCATCGGAGTAGAGCGAGCGCCATCTAGTGAGCACTCCGAGTACAAGGGGTGGCTACGATGGACGACGAGGGACTTCCTGATACACCCTAAGAAGCTTCGTTCATAAAAATAATAATGTGCTCACGCAGCCCATCGCTATCAAGGAAATCCAACAGTGCAGAAAGGGCATGCTTGTCGTGGTCGCGGTTGCCTTCGGGGAAGAGCAGGTGCTTCTGCTGGACCGTGGAAGTACAAGCCACATGTGCACAGCAAGCAAAGCGGTCCTGCTTACGTCACAGATGAGACGGCGAAGGAGGAGGTGCCCCAGAGACTCCCGAGTAAGGTCTGCCATGACCGGTGAGTCGACGTATGCGCTCAGCAGCACGATGGCAGCCGATTCTGAGCCGGAGCAGTAGGCACAGGTCCACAAATGCAGCGACGTTTATTGATGTGGCGAGAGAGGTTATGTATTGGCGAAGAACGACCACACTGTCAAACCCAGGAAGCTCCGCAAACAGCACAGACTCTGGCGCAATCTGAGTACAAATGGACACTCGGCCCCACCTTCATGCCTGGTGCCCGCACTTCAGGTCATCTGGTGCCCTTCCACTCCCTCTAAAAAAATTCTGCCTACGCAATAATAACAAAACAGATTTTTGTAGTCTTCCTTCCAGGGCGCACATCCCCTGGGGTATCTACTCATTACAATATTTACCCTGAGTTTTCTCAAGTTTCGCAGATGACGTGAAAGATTAATGTAGTGCTTCCGAGTGTACCACGCCCGACGCAGTGTGAAGCAACCAACGAAGTGGCCCTACAGAAAACTATCGTTCAAAGTTCACTCATTTTTGCTTTCAAGTTTTAAACAGCAACACTTGACCTGTCGATGACGTGAATAACACAAAGACAGAGCGATATAAAACAAATTGACAGAGAGATAAAAACGTGTTAAGGGGCGTTACCTTGTACAGCTCGAGGGACGCTAGGCCCGCGACCAGTGACGCTGTTGTGACGATAGCTGGCATGACCTTTCCCGCGATGAGCTTGCTCTTGAGCCGGTCAGACGGCTCGATGTTATAGTTGGCGGCGCGAAGGTTGGAGGAAGCCAAAATGAAATCCAAGTGAAAGTTGTTGTTGTCTTCTGCATTGAACTCCATCGTACTGAGTGACACGTCATCGCGGTTCTTCTGTTTGGAAAGCTCCTCTAGAAGTTTCGCGAGCACTTTGTCATCTACAGAAATCATACGCAAAAGTTGACTGTTAAAAAAGCGTTCTCAGTTGACAGTCAACTGCGTCTGTGCAACAGCATGAGCATTATTCGTAAGCGAGTGACTCGAGGGAGTCAACTGCGAAGCAGTCCTTATTCAGCGCTATTCTGTGAACTCCCTCAGTCTTAAAAATAATAGCCTGATAAGTCAGTTATTTAAAATTGACGCGTTTCATAGAATCATCATCTTGTTTATCTTGCGCTTCGGGCGCACAACCCTTTTCTCACTTGTGGTTCCAGTTCTTACAAATGATTAGTCGACAATATTTCCGCCATTATCGCGACCGGTGCTGACGGATGTGTTAAGCACAACAACATAACTGAAACAAGACGGCAAGCACCTGATTTTAGCGGGTAGAGCACTGTCTTTTATTCGCGATGCTAAACACACCATGTTCTTCCAGGTGACATATTGTCGTTTTTGTTTTGTTAATTAGTCTAAAACGACCCCACGTGGCAGCCTGGCTCTTACATTGTCCCAGGGATGAGATAAAGGATGTCTTGCCTTACAGTTATAACTGTAACACCGAGGGTGTTATCTGTGTAAAAATGCCAGGACTGCTGACAAATGAAGCACGAAGAACATGCCAGACATAGCCATTCACAAAGCTTCCGGCAACTCCTCTTACTTCAAGCATGTCTTGTAGTCTTACTGTGGAAAGACGCTATTATAGAATGCACTTTATCTGACCTAAGTAATAAATGCAAAGCATTTCTTCGCGAACTTCGGCGACTTTGAGCATATCTATCCATATATCTAGCCGCCTACGACATTTAGCTCTCCTGGCCGTTTCGATAAATGTATCGATACCAAACTTGGTATGGCATAACATTACTGTATGAAGAGCATATTTGACTAGTAACATGAATATCATGACATGAATGTCGTAAATGTCATGATTTGCATTTCATGGTCCTTCAGTTCTTGCGGTGGTTTTGTTCACATGGCATGTTGCAAAACTGGTATGGTGTTACATGATTACATGGCGAACGCTAGCGACAGACCCTAACATGAAAATCAAGACTGCATGTCCCGTAACAACATGACTACATGCCAAGCTCATGATGCGCTGGCGGCTGTTTCGCTAGCATCACATATACCAAATTTGGCATTACGGTACGTGAATGGGTGAAGGTATGTGACTAGTGCAAACATGATAATCATGAAATACGTGTCATGTAACAACAAGACTACATGCCACGCTAATAATGCGCTGGCAGCTGTTTCGCTAGCTTCACACGTACCAAACTCGGTATTACGCGACGCGAACGGACAACATAGGTAAATGACAAATACAAACATGATAATCACGACATGCGTGTCATGTAACATGTCTACATGCCACACTCATGATGCACTCGCGGCCGTTTCGCTGGCTTCACATGTACCAAATTCGGTATTACGTGACGGGAACGAACTACATAGGTAAATGACACATTCAATCATGGTAATCACAACATGCGTGTCATGTCGCAACATGACTACATGTCATGATGCCCTCGCGGCCGTTTCGCTAGCTTCACAGATGCCAAATTTGGTATTACGTGACTTCTATGGATGACGAAGGTATGGGACTGGTGCAAACATGATAATAATGAGATGCGTGTCATGTGGGAACATCACTACATGCCACAGTCAAGGCGCCAATACATTCCGATGTGACGTGGTGCGCGTACTCACCGGCGTTCATTTCCTGGCGTCATGCTGGCGTTGCCACGCCCGGACCAGTCCTCCCATAAACTCGGGGGCGCGCACCGCACTGCGTTGCTTTGACGCATGCGCGTTTCAGTGCGTGTGGTGTCCCTCCGTCACGAAAAGAGGGAGCTGCTGTGTTGTCTGGGTAACACATCGGCGCGAAATGCAGCATGTCGCATTTCGAGCCGGTTGCCGCTGGTAGCGCCGGTCGCGCCTGGCGGCAGACTATAGAGTGCTCGCGTTTTGCTAACGTAGCGGCGCTGTGCCCAGCGTGCACGCGCGTCAACGCTACATTAGAATATATTGGGCCCTTCATGATGCGCTCACGGGCGTTTTGCTCGCTCCACATATACCAAATTTGGTGTTACGTTACGCCAATGAATGAGAAAAGTACATGGCTGGTGCAAACAGGATAATCCGGACACGAGTGTCATGTAAGATCATGAAAACATACCACGCTCATAGCGTGCTCACGGCCGTTTTGCTAGCTCCACATATACTAAATTTGGTATCACGTGACGTGAATAGATGATGAAGGTGAACGACACATCCAAACATGATAAGCATGACACGGAAGACATGTACGGCATCATTTCCCTTCACCTCGTAACTTTCTGCTGATTTTAAAGTGACATATCAACATTTCTCATTCGTGCTTCGCACATCATGGATTCCCGCTCTACGTGGGGATCTGCCAATTTTTTTCGTATTATCGTTGTGGGTCGGTTCATGACGAAGGTTTGTCATTCTGTGAGCAGAATAATAGACAAGTACATTACACTGTCCCGTCGTTCTAAAAAGACGCAGAAAGACAAGCCGAGTAGGCCGCTTAATCTGGCCCTGTAAACTAAGACGCTGCTTGATTGTGGGTAGAACAACATGATCGTTGAAACAAACGATGATTTTATTAGCATTTCCTCGATGTATTCTGTCCAACTTTACTCTACGACATGATCTGTAAACATATTCAGTTGAAATCAGTAGCTGTAGAAGCTGAGGTGCAATCAGCATTCTGCACATTGTTGAGCAGAGGCACAAGACCGCAAAGACGACACGAACATGGTAATCACCAGCTGCTCGTCCTACATCTTCGGTATAAGACTGCTATAAATTAGCGGCGTAGCACCAATAGTTTAAAGAATCCTAATTCATGCACTTAGAACCGAATGGTGAGCTAAACGCTCGCGTTATATAACGCCAATAAGGCAAATGTGCTCATACCATCTGGTTTTGCGACACTGGTTGGTGGTGGGTTCGCGTCGATGACGGCCTCCGGGATGTTTTCCTCTTGCAGGCATTGTGCCGGAGCCTCGCCACTTTCGAGCATATCGGCGATCTCTTCGCGGTCGGTATTGCGTTCGATGCCGTACATTGCTGCCCGCAAGTTAGCCGCCGCCACGATGTAGTCCATGTGCAGCGTCTACAACGGGAAGGGGAAAATACCGCTAGTAATTATGTACTATATTATTAATAATATTAATAACTATAAATCGTTATAATATTTAGAACAACCAATGAGATTAAGGAAAGTATAGGGAATGCTATCAGTAGTAATTGTAATCTAATGTGAAGAAAGAATTGACCAAAAGATAGCTTGCCACAGGTATGGACTAAACCTGACCGAAGCTGCTACCTTCGAATAACGCGTCCGACGCTCTTTCAACTGAGTTACAGTGGCGGTTACTCCCCTCTCCCCCGTACGGCTTATGATATATATATATATATATATATATATATATATATATATATATATATATATATATATATATATATATATATATATATATATATATATATATATATGCATTAAACCTGCGATTAAATCAGCGCGCTGCTAGAAGCCATGACGGTGAGTGTGAAACACTCTTAATGGATAATGTATCGTAGTGGGCAGCTCGTAAAAGATCACGTGTTACGGGATGCCACATGCAGAAGAGTGTACCGCAGTTGCCGTCATGGCTACTAGCGCCGCCGAATAAGACTGGCTGGTTTAAATGCACATGTATACCCTATAAACTAAACGGGGCACAACCGCCGCTGTAGTTCGGATGGTAGAGCATCGAACGCGCTATTCGATGGTCACAGGTGCAGTTCTTTGCCAGCGGCTAGTTATCTTTTTGTCTACGTTTCTCCTACATTCCTACAGCGTGACTTTCCACGCGCACTTAACGTAGATTTAGAGTGACATGAAACTCAAATATATTCAAATTGGCAGAAGCCGCATATACTCGCACTGCAGCATTATAGTTTTCCGTACAGTGCCACTCCGATTGATTCTATGACAAATGTGATAACACGCTGAACGTTGCCAGAAGACAGCTGTCGGAGGTCTGGTCCACAAGGATTCAGTAGACGTAGATGAAATGAAAATTGACAACTTTGTGTTCGTTGTCTTTATCGAGCTCGGCACCTAAACGTAGAACGACACAAACTAGCCTGCCTCACTCTGCCACCGCAAATACATTTCTTTCTCGTAATTGATGATTGCAATTTAACCGACACGACCGGAAATAAACCAACAGGAACTAACCTGTCTCTCTCTGCAACCTCAAATACGTTTCTTTCTCGTAAATGATGATTACAATTGAAAGACCAAGTGCGGCATCCTCGCGGTGACAATGATGAGCCACTAGCAATCACTCCAGAGTAGCATTGAAGCAAGCAACACTGCTATTATTACATGAGTTGTACTTAGACCGAACGCAGATATACACTGATGGGTCCATCTCGTCCAGCAGCTCATCAGGTGCCGCTGTAATTCCGGCTGCAGCAATGACAATCAAGATTTAGTTGTCGCATATGACTACATCTACGGCATCAGAGCTTGCTGCTATAAGGGCTGCTTTACAATATCTCGTTCAAGAACGTCCAGGAAAATGGGTCATATTCTGTGAGTCGAAGGCAGCGCTTCAGAGTTTGCAGTTTGCCATGCGTAGGAGGAGTCATGACCAATTGGTACAAGAAATAAGACATTGCCATCATGAAGCTCTAGCACGAGGGCATGATATTATATATCAATGGCTGCCTGGACATATCGGTATTACCGGAAATCAATTAGCCGATGATGCAGCCCGCTCAGCCCATAAAGAAACCCATGTAGTCCCGATTCCTCTATCAAGAAATGATGCAGCAAGACAACTTTACCTTCTGGCTCGAGATCTCACACGCACGTTCTGGTCGTCTACCAGCTTCCAAAGGTGTCAATTTTATGAACTGGATCCTTCGCTCAAGCTAAAGCTACCATCACAACTTTCCCGCTCCGATGCGACACTGTTATGCCGCCTTTGGTTGGGTGTTGCATTTACAAAGGTGTACTCCTTTCGCATTGGTATGGCAGACACTCCCACATGCGACTACTGCGGAGCTGAAGAGAGCATCGAACACGTCCTGTGCAGCTGCGCTTGCTACGACACACAGCGATGCCAGCTCCGGATGGTTTTGAATCAACTTGACCCCGGACCATTTTGTGTGCAGAAGATACTAGGACCTTGGGCATCTGCCTCAGTTGCGCAGAAAGCAACTAAAGCACTGCTACTTTACCTAAAGTCAACAAACCTGAGCGACCGCCTGTAGACTGTGTGTGCTCCTCGAGTGTGCTCGTGATTGTGTGTACCTTGTCATCTCTCTGCAACCTCTTTTCTCCCCTTTATCCCTTCCCCAGTGCAGGGTAGCAAACCGGATGTGCGTCTGGTTAACCTTCCTGCTTTTTCTTACATCTTTATATATCTCTCTCTCTCTTTCTTTTTTCAGATTAGATTACATTTACTAATAACATCCCCTATACTTTTCTTGGCATCTTTGTGAGGTAGCTCTCATTATTATAGTGTTTGTGTGTCAAACAAATAAAACCGAGCCTTTGAATTTTCACTTCATTTCAACCTAAAATACAATCATTAAATAATTAAATAAATAAATAAATAAATAAATAAATAAATAAATAATGAATAAATAAATAAATAAATAAATCAAAACTAGCAGTTGTTCGCTGTACGAATACAACCGATGAGGGAAGCTTCTTAGAAATGGTACGCAAACGACAATGTGCCTGATCTCGCTGCTGGCTTTCATGGGGGCGGTATTGTGGGGAGCGGGTAAAGAGAGCGTCTGCCGAGGTCGGTGGTCAGAACGACAAGGGGCTCCGCTCTTAAGAGTATTGTACCCACTGTATACTTACGTTCTTGGGGTTGAATTCGATTGGGTGGGGACATCGTCTGTGGCCAGACCAGAAAGGGGCGCCAGAAGCTGTTATCTGCGGGTCAAGTCGGTGGTATAACACTCGTCCAGCAGCTTTCGACACAACATTCAAAGAAGGCGAAGCCTCACCTCATTTTCGGGATGGACGCGTAGCAGCTGTCGTATCTGGTCATCGTACTGCTCCTGGAAGCGTAGCCTGGCGAAAGAGACGCAGTCGTCGAAGACGGACGCTTGACCGTCCACTAGGGTGTCCTTTATTTCTCTCACCAGGGCCACCTGTAAGAGCAGCATCGCCCGACAAAGTTGTACATTTACGCACAGTGGTGAAGAAGATGGGAGTGTGGCACATGCTTGTGGGTTTTGACTGTTCAATTGTAGGCCGTGTGCTGCGCTGAGCGCCAATAAAGGCTGTAGAGATATTTTTCCTACAGCGCCAACTCGACGTCACATGAATGCGTCATCTCATCACGTCGTCGTCATGACACCCTATCTCTCTGTCACGAGTGGTAGTGGTACATAGCAAAACACGCCCCATAGAATGCGGGTGTGCGCCACACCCATCCATCAACCCGGCGACGGCGAGAATAGACTTCGGACATTTTCACTCGATAGTTTTAATTATAAGCGCGATACCTAGACATGGACAGCTAAGACGCGGCAAGCGCTTTCTATCAACTGAAAGTTTAATCGGAAGGCTGTGAAATATATACTGACTGAAAAATGTATGCTGATTAAGATGGGGCTGATATACATACATTTTTTTATCGGTTTTGTTACGTTTGGTTAGCGGTGTGGCCTTATCGTATGTGGCCCCGCCGCGGTGGTCTAGTGGCTAAGGTACTCGGCTGCTGACCCGCAGGTCGCGGGTTCGATTCCCGACTGCGGCGGCTGCATTTACGATGGAGGCGGAAATGTTGTAGGCCCGTGTACTCAGATTTGGGTGCACGTTAAAGAACACCAGGTGGTCAAAATTTCCGGAGCCCTCGGCGTCTCTCATAATCGAATTGTGGTTTTGGGACGTTAAACCCCACAAATCAATCAATATTATCGTATGTGCTTCCGAAATGTTTTATCTGTCAGTATATATTTCACGGCTTTCCGATTAAACTTTCACTTGGTAGTAAGCGCTTGTCCGTACCTTAGCTGTTCCTGTCTACGTATCGCGCTCGTATTTCATACCATCGTGAGTCACCAACTTCGCCCATTCAACCATTTTCACACGATAGTGATAAGCAGCCCTTGTCGCCGAAAATCTCGATAGACAAAGAATAAAAGTGACAGCTTTAGCCGGAATCGAACCGGGGCTTTCTGCGTGGCTGCCCTGCATCTTACGACAGGGCCACACAAGTGCTTGAAAGTGCTGCGGAAAAATAGTCTGTGCAGTAGTGGTGTCAGGGCAGCGTCAAATGGGTTCGCAGCGTTGGATAACCAAGCAAACCGGCTTTAGATCGCGGCTCACTTGTGCATTGCATTTTTCTTGACTTTCAAAAAGCTTTCGATAAAGTACCTCACCAATTACTCCTCCTGAAAATTAGTGCCTTAAACATTGACCCGAACATTCTTAAATGGATTGAATGCTTTCTGACTAATCGCACTCAGTTTGTAACAACTAATGGCTATAACTCACCTCTTTCTAAAGTAACATCCGGCGTACCCCAAGGTTCCGTATTAGGCCCTTTACTCTTTCTTATATATATTAATGATCTCCCAGACAGCATTAACTCCGCTATAAGGTTATTTGCAGATGATTGTGTAATTTACCGCGAAATAAACAATGAATATGATAACCAATTTCTACAGTCAGACCTTGACACTGTCTCAACCTGGTGCAATAAATGGCTTATGACTCTCAACTCTAACAAATCTAAATGCATGTCAATAACCCGGCGATCTATTTCTCCCCCCTGTACCTACAGAATTAACGCCGTTCCCCTCCAGCATGTCTCTTCATATAAGTACCTCGGCGTTTACATTACCAACAATCTATCTTGGCACACGCATGTTACCTACATCTGTAATAACGCTAACCGAACGCTAGGATACTTACGCCGCAACTTTTCTCGCGCTCCGCTGTCCCTCAAAATTCTATTATACCGATCACTAATTCGCCCAAAGCTTGAGTACGCGTCCGCTATATGGGATCCCGTGCAGCAAAATTTAATTAACGCGTTAGAATCTGTTCAGAACCGCTCAGTTCGGTTCATTTGTTCTAATTATTCCCGTACTGCTAGCATATCAGAAATGAAATCTAACCTTGACCTACCCAATTTAACTGTCCGGAGGAAACTGGCGCGACTGCATTTTTTTCATAAGATATTTTTTCACAATCCATCAATGAAGCGAGACCTCATTTCACAACCGTCGTACCACTCATCGCGCATTGATCATCAGCATAAGGTTGCCATTCCGTTTTGCCGCACCAAATTCTTTTCAGCAGCCTTCTTACCGAAAACAGCCGCCGATTGGAACCACCTTTCCTCTTCCGTTGTATCAATAACAGACCCTTTGTTATTCAAGACTGCAATTTCTCAGCAATGCTTGTAACTATACGCAGTTTCCATTATCTATCTTTGTCTTGTATGTGCTTGAATTCTTATACATTTTTAGTTGACTTATGTTGCCTTCCTGATTTGCGCATCTGATACTTGTTTCTTTATTTTCTCTTTTTTTCTTGTGTGTTATATATGTTGTACCCACCCCCTCTGTAATGCCCTACGGGCCCTGAGGGTATTCTAATAAATAAATAAATAAATAAATAAATAAATAAATAAATAAATAAATAAATAAATAAATAAACCCGTCACTCCGAAAGCTATATACAAGCGCAGCTCGCTTGCCGTGGTGGTCTAGTGGATAAGGTACTTAGCTGCTGACCCGCAGGTCGTGGGTTCGAATCCCGGCTGCGGCGGCTGCATTTATGATGCATGCGGAAATGTTTAGGCACGTGTGCTCAGATCTGGGTGCACGTTAAAGAACCCCAGCTGGTCGAAATTTCCGCAGCTTTCCGCTACGGCGTCTCTCATAATCATATGGTAGTTTTGGGACGTTAAACCCTACATATCAATTATCATGCAAGCGCTGCTCGAATACGTGAAGCACCGATAATGATAATATTGCCGCGCTCCTTTCTCAAGTTTCCTTATCGCCCCATCACACGTATAAGTGCTGCCTTGCGCAAAAACGCGCCTTGATTAAAGAACCATGCATCAAGATAATCGTAGAACCTTTCGATGCTATCACGCATACAGCAGGAAATTTACAGAATCTTCTAGAACTTACTTGGCTGCCAGTGATAGCACTGGAATATTCGACGTCACATGTCACGCTCTGTTCGCTGCTATCAGTGCATGCGTGTACCGCTGTAGTCTGATTTTTCGTTGACGGACCACAAATTCAGCCAAATAAAATAAACAGTTTGATTTTCGACCTACAGTCTGCTCCCTTCGTTGACGTCACGACCGCGTGACAGTATGCACATCATCACACCCAAGTGGGCACTTCGATTTGATAATGTAGAACTAACGTCTACGCCTAAACCTGCGTAGGGAGTCATATCGTATTATGAACCAGCCCTTAGAGGCAATCTATTCGGCCAAAACTACTCACTTTACACAAAGCCATTGATCTGCCTCGTAACTCTCTGCTCAAAACACGCGCAAATACGCTCAATTGATTGATTGATTGATATGTGGAGTTTAACGTCCCAAAACCACCATATGATTATGAGAGACGCCGTGGTGGAGGACTCCGAAAATTTTGGCCACCCGGGGTTCTTTAACGTGCATCCAAATCTGAGCACACGAGCCTACAACATTTTCACCTTCATCGAAAATGCAGCCACCGCAGCCGGGATTCGATCCCGCGACCTGCGGGTCAGCAGCCGAGCACCTATTAGCCACTAGACCACCGCGTTGGGGCGAAAGGATACGTTCGCTGACTGCTTCACATGTGGGCTAACCCCACAATGCGTGGGATCCGCCATATTTTTGTTTCGCAAATTGCTAACGAATGCAGGGCTGCACCGTTCTTGCTTCCCTATGTCCAAGCTGGATGCTTCGCTTCTAAAACAAAATGGTCAGCCATGTTCTTTGCGATTACTAGGAAGCCGCTGTGACGCGTAACGACAATGCAAGAACAATTGTGCAAAAAAATTTACTTTTTCCTTGAGCTGCAGTGCTTCCAGGGCCCTTGGAAGAAATTTCGGATCTCTGAAATAGTGAATAATTCAGTAATCATATACATGCGTGTTTTCGCCAACGTAGCACGATTTAAGGAGGACATGACGAAGATTAGAATAGATAGATAGATAGATAGATAGATAGATAGATAGATAGATAGATAGATAGATAGATAGATAGATAGATAGATAGATACGCTCAAAATCACCGAAGTTCATTAAAAATACTTCGCATTTAAAACTACGCCATCCCCCCGAATTGGACCATCGAGTGATGCGGAGCATCACGGGAGTTTCCAACACAATGTTCACGCGATGCGTGGTAAAGAACCAATAGCTCGCAAGGTTCGCCGCAAACCGGTAAATACCGCAGTGAAAAACATCGTTGAAATTAAGAAGGTTTGAAACTCCCCGTGAACAAGTTCTCTCTGTTTGTTACCCCCCTGAGATGTAGCGACCAAGTGCCGGCGAAGTAAGAGGGGGGGGGGGAGCAATCGTGCGCCCCGCGAGATAATGGCGCCCTCTCCTGCTAGGCGTGAAAATCAACCGCGTCTGTCCGAAGCACGTTTAGTGACATTAAGTTAATTACCTTGAATGCATGTTGTATATTGTGGTTAGTTATATAATTATAGCATTTCTTCGTTCATTTTAGCCCACATTCGAACATTACTAGCCGTGGTTTAAGCCTGTGTGTCTTGAGTGCTTGATTGTGAGCTTGACTACGCAGCATAAAATTATTGTTTCGACAACAAGCGGGGCCACTGAAGTGATACGCACTTAAATACAAGACCTGTCTCCTCACTTCTGCAGATCTTATCTAGTTCAGGAGAAGATGGAGGCATGCAATGATGAGAAGTCCAACTGTCGCTGGAGGTGACGTTTTGATTAGGGACGTGTCTTGGTCGAGGCAGCGTCGGATTTCCTTAGTGGTATTTCATGTAAGCCTATCTCATTCTCCCCAACCTCGATTGGGTGAGGAGGAAAATGAGGTTTCATGCAAATAATGACTTCTCATTTACAGGTGCTTTATGCGCGAGACAAATGCAAGAACTCCAGACGGTCGAAATTTTCGCCCTCCACTACAGCGCGTCTCAGATATATATATCGCAGATTTGGGATGAAAATGCCTAGATATTACTATAATATCATTGTTAATAATGATATTAATATTGTTTGTGTGTGAGAGTACACGTCTTAAATGCACGTGTAGGGTTCTTATCGATATAGCCTGGCACTTACTCTAAACACTGCAAAGAATTTGCAGCACTCCGCTCGAACAGGACATCATATTCTTCACGGGCCCACTGCAAAGACGATTTCGTAAGGGTTCGGGAAAATATAAGTTTATGAGTCAAATCAAATATCAGTGCTTTCGACAAACACAATTTCAGTGCAAAAATTTGAAGTTACGTTTCCCCATTACAGAAAAAAAATATACAAAATTAGGTAAAGTAAAGTTAGTTACGTAAAGTTAGTTACGTGACGTAAAGTAAAGTTAGTTACGTACTACACATAAAGCTTGCGCAAAGTTCCTTGTGGATTAAATACACCTGAAAAAAAAAGAGAAACTGAAAAAGATGGCCGAATATTCAAGACGTCTGTAAGTTACGATCAAGTGCTTTCAATTACCGGGGAAATCACGACAACAACGTCACTAAAGCAAGGTCATATTAACGTGTTCACGTATTGTCTTGTGATTGCAAAACCATGGTAATACAACGCCAGGCCATATTTTAAGGGATGTAACCATGCTTAAGCGGACCATGGCGTGTCCACTGTGAGGAGGGGGAGAGAATGCATACCTTGCCTTCAACGCCCTGTCCTCATTGACAAAGCACCACTTAAGAATTATTTTGATGAGGACACGACATGCAAGGCAACTCGATGTTTCCTCGTAAAATTTTCAAAATATGCCCTGAGGATTCCTGTCGTTTATACTTTCACGATTGCTTGCAACTGTACACAGTCATGCTGTCTGCGACAAAAACTAGTGAGCCTAAATATATTATTTAGAAATGTACCTAGCTTTATCAATAAGGTATTTCAGAAAATTTTCAGGCTACGCAACAGCCTCTAAATTCAACAAGTAGGATATTGAAAATGAGGCGCGTTCTTACCAGACCTGCATATTGGTCAGAGACAAATCGCATTTTAAGTCGTTTTTACTCGTTGATAAGTTACATTAGTGAGAAAAGATTGTTAAAATTCCGCTTTGGAATGCCGCTATCATGATGTATATATACACGAAGAACGTAACTATATTTCTGAAGATTGCTGTTGTGTGCTTAAACACAAAGGTAAGAAATTGAACGTCGGGTGCTGGGTCATCACGTCGAAGTTGTGTTCCCACTTTTTACATAACATCGCTTTGTTTGAAGCACAGTTATTTCATGTTATTTTTTGTGTATGGCATAAAACCACTTATATTACGTAAGTTGCTTCTATTGCTGACAGAAAAAAAACGTGTTTAAGCTTATTTCAGAAAAACCAGCAGGCAGATGGCACTGTAGGTGTGTTTATGTAAAGAATATAGAAGGTAATTTACAGCACTGCTTTCAATTTTGCTCAACATAGTTTAAGAAGCAATCTAGCCTTAGACCAAGAGGGAAGTAGGCAAGGTGTACCAGCAGGATGTGCTCGATACTGGAGGGAAAGTGCTTGATGGCATCGGCTGGTACCAGCTTATCAGGCGGGTCCTTGGAGGCCGAGTAAGTCTCGGTTATTTTCGGTACAACCACCTGCACGCTTCCTTTTGTGCCCATGATGCCGGAATCGATCAGCGGCTTCCCGTAGTGAACGCAGCACTGGTCCATGTAGTGGCCTGCACACCGCGCCACCAACTGTCAATGATGGGTCATTACAACAAGTTACAACACCGTGGAAAAGCACCGCGGGCGGTATACCGCAGCCGCGCTTGGCTTCTAACAGCGGAGGATCTTCAGCAAAAAAAAAGTGGGCGGATATGGGTAATCGAAAGCTGGTTAAGCCAAGCAACTGCTAGCATAGCATAGCCATGCGCAGTAGAGTACAAACATAGTCCATGTTTGTAAATAGCGGTAGGCGCCGTCGGCATACTGAGGCGCTTGTAGCGACGTCTCGGCAAGCCCAATGCTCACTACTGCCCTCTATGACGGCGTGACAACTGACACAGCAGCTGCAGAACTGCCTCCGAGTACTAGAGCGGGAGGCTCTTCCTGCAGGTGTGCTGTTCTCAAGCGACAAGGTGGCCCCTTGTCGGCAGCCGTTTCGGAGTAAGGTGAGGGAAGACCACCATCTTAATCAATGCTGTGCACAAGAAATAATGAAGGATGAATGAAATGCAGCTAAAATATATAGGACCAGCTCCCGTTGGCTGCCCTAAGCTGCACACCCACAAACACTGAAGAAAGCACGAGTGAGGACTGCGACCTTCGTACACAACATCACGTACGTGAGTAGTGCGGAAGATCTGTCTTTTTCTGTTATCTCATTTTCCTTTCGCAAGTCTCATTTCAAATGACCAACAGAATTTAATTTTGATTTTGTGTCTCTTGGACTGCATCATTGTGTTCCCGCCTATGCATGTGCAGAGTTCACGGTAGATGCGATTTAAGTGGGCACTCACGCGTCTCGACGTTGTCTACCGCGATGGCCACGCCGTCTAAAGATTCGAAGAAGTCGTCGCTGCATGTACTTGTTTCCGGAGCCACTTTGTCCACACTGACGGCGAGGTTGATGTCGTCATTAATTTCGACGATGGTTTGCCCGGCCATGACAGACTTCGAAGCCTGCGTAACGTAAGAGAATATATATATATATATATATATATATATATATATATATATATATATATATATATATATATATTGTAACGCGTACTGAAAGAGCGAGGAGGAATACCACGTTCACGAGCTTCGCCGGTGCGCCCCATTCGTAGAAGCGGCTCACTCTGTCGAAGTGTTTTAGCCAAGCGTCCACGTCTTCGTCAGTTTTACCTGAGAAAATTCGTGGCTCGGGTGCCCAGTAGTCTGGTTGTCGAGGTCGACGGCCACCTTGTGCCGTGTCGGTGGCACTGGTGGTTGCAGCAGCCTAGTGCGTCAATGGGATTGCTGTGTCGTTCATGCTGATGTTGTCCGGGGGTAGGCCAGCTAAGCGTCTGCTTCTTCGAAGAACTCCTGCTGCGGGGTCCAGGATGGCAAGTTACCCAGCACCGCTCCACCAAAGCTGTTACGGATGTGATGGGTTTATTTACACTGAAAAAGATGTCACCGCTCTACCGTCACTGCCGAATCACCATTGGTCGAGAGCGTCCGATCTCTTCTTCCTTCCTCGCTCTTCCAGTCCGCGTTACAATATATATATATATATATATATTGTAATGATGACAAAGCGGCGATCGTGCTCGGCGCATACCTGGGAGAGACGGAAGACGACGAAGAGGAAGCAGATAAAGAACAGCCGGCCTGCAGCAAAGGCGTTGTCTCTTTGTCTTATTTCTCCGCGTTACAATGGCGCAGTCGCGAACTACTGACCCCGATATCCCTGCGTCCACTACACTTCGAAGTGGACGAGTGCTCTCGAACTCCCCACCGATCACGGACGGCGTCCAAGCCTCCACGGCGGCACCGCATCATGACTGCAGCGAGGCCATTTCTCGAGGCTTCTCTCTGTTCGCCCAAGAGCTCAAGACATCCGGGTTTGGCTGCGCCTCTTTTGGATCGTTCAACGAGAACGAAATTCCATATTTTCATGGATTCAAGGATGACCCTACCAACTGGGTAAGCGTGATAAACTCGGTTGCCCTTAAATACTCGTGGAGCGACACGATTAAGAAGTCGGTCGCTGAAGGACGTTTGCGAGGATCTGCCCAAGCGTGGCATCGTTTCCAAGGCAGTACATACGCTACATGGCAAACATGGAGCGCGGCCCTGATGTCCGCGTTTGCGCCGCTTCCGAGCGCTTACGACGACCGTTTCATGACCATGCGGTCACGCCGGCAAGGTGCAACCGAGGACGTCGCGACTTACATCTACGACAAGCTGGACCTTTTACAAGCTTGCGATATACAGTGGACCTCCTCCGCAGCCAGGCAGTACATCATCGACGGGATCCATGACTCGACGCACGCAGCCGTCTTGTCCGCCTACAACCACCCAGTCCACATCTCCGCTTTCGTACGCCAGGCAATGGAGTTGCAGGACACGTCTCATATATATATATATATATATATATATATATATATATATATATATATATATATATATATATATATATATATATATATATATATATATATATATATATATATGACGCTATGATGAATAGCAGACGTGGCCTGGCTCATACGCCATGTTTATTCTGTTCTGCACTTCTTCCTTCTCATCTACTTCTCCTAACCATCGCTTCATACGTCACACGGTTCCCCCTCCCCCCGAAAGAAGGCATGGATTACGAACAAGAAAAAGTTAACAAGTAGAGGTTAAAAAGTTACAAATGTCAAAAATTCACAATTGGTTCTATGCTCCAGGGGGTTCCGTAAACTTTCAAAGACTTCAGGGGAAAGTGCAGCAGTCCGGTTAACGCAGGAGTTCTGGTGGGCGAGGCTGGTGGTTGCGTCCTGGATAACACAAAAACGCTTTGGACATGGAAACAGATGGAAATACAGCCGGTATTCTTGCAAAG